CTCTTCTCTCTCTCTCTCTCTCTCTCTCTCTCTCTCTCTCTCTTTCTCTCTCTCTCTTTCTCTCGATAACAAAATTCTTCATGGACATAAAATCCAGTGTAGTACTCGATTACTTGAACCATCGAGTAAAAATAATGGAATTGGTTATTTTATTTTCGACATTTTATTGAGTTTACGCCATCGGAAAGTTATATCGATCCAATGAATCGACCTTTGGATACAACTCCAATATACGTGTTGTATATTAACCTAGACGAATTTATCGGCGTTATCGCTTCGGCGGCGTTTCGCTGCAGAATAAAATTTGCGCCGGAAACGCGTTTACAGCCGGGTTGGCTGAATACGTCGAAACGCATTAACGTGAATAATCGGGAAGAACGTGTGACAACGTGTGCAAATGGATCTCCAATGCACGCACGCGTGCATATAGGATATTCGGTCGAGTCTCTTTTCATCATTTTGGCACACTCGTAATGCTCCTAATGACAAAATGATAAGAGATGATAATTTGAATTTATGACTTTTAATGTCAAATCCCTTCGTGGGATTCGCGAGGCGAAATGAAGAATAATAAAATATATTTCGCTTTCTCCCGAAATTAATATAGTTCCTTCAATTTCAGCGAGTCGTAGCGTAAGGCCATTCGTACCTCCGTATTTCGGTAAGAAAGAACCGACGCCAAATTAGTCGAAAGGGAGACCCACGGTAAGTTCGAAAGTAAGAGAGGCAATTTCGAGATATTCTATGGCGAAGGGCGGGAGATGGGTAGGTATAGGTAAAAGTACGGAGGAGCGAGCACGCGGGCCGTCTGTCGGGCCCGAGATTACAATGGTAGTTTGAAATGCAAATCGCGGAGAGTTTATGCCTGGTTTCCATAATTACAGAAGCGCGGCGCGCGCGTTACCTCTCATAATGTACAATGCACACGGACCGACGTAATCGTGGCATTGTTCTGGCGCGAAACTATTTTGCCGTGTTACGACGACAACGACGACGACGACGACGACGAGTCGACGATGCGAAAGGACAGCCGTGAAACGTGAGATGCGACAGCTTGCGAGAGGAAGGAAATACATCGAAGCGCCGCCAACGAGTTTGCGCAGCCTGTCGCGGCAATAAAGAAAAACGACAACGTGTCGTTACTCGACGGATATGAAGAAAAAACCGCTTACGAAGCTTCAATAATACCGAGATGTCAATGTTTCTTCAAAAAAACTGTCACAAACAGGACGTTCAACATTAATAAAATAAGAGAAGGATGACGTAATCGCGATTGAATATTTTGATTGAAAACATTGAAAAAAATCAAATTTATTTAATTAATTATATTTTATGAAGTATTCTAAAGGTTCATGTGCTCCGCTCCTTAGAATTTTGAGTAGCTTCATTTAATTCCGAACGTGAATACGACGCCAGGCTCATTTTAGCAACTGCCATTTTAATCTCCGCTCCTCATTTTAATAAGATCCCCGACTGGTCGTTAATTATTCCACATTATTGCTCTAGCATCTCTAGCTCTGCAACTAACAAGTCTACGAAGTCTTCGTAGTGTTGAGAAACATCCAAGAAGAAAACACTGAGCGCGGCGCGCGTGAGACTCGTAAAGATTTTCGGAAATGTCGTGCGAAAAGCGTGCGAGATAATCGCGCGGAAAAGCGCGAACAAAGCTGGAAAGAGTCCAGGGAAACGCACATCGAATGCACACACACGTACGATATACATTTTCGAGAGCTCTCGATCGCATGCGATCGTAGACCCAACGGTAGCGATCGACACCGACGCGATTGAGTGATTCTTTTTAACGTTTTCGAGAGTTAAAATTGAACGCCCGCTCGCGTTTCCCGAGAGAAGAGAAAAAAAAGGCACAGTCAGGAATTTCTGGCGCACTTTCTGGAGCACGGTGTACGCTACACACCGACCGACCATCGCTTTATACTCGCCTGCGCCATTATCGTAATAAAATTGACGGTTAGATGGATAGTTTAATAAATTGCAACGACGAAAATAATATCGCGTGGAAAGCGCAACCCATTATCGTCAGTCACTTCAATAAAACTGGCGGTCGTGTAGAGAGAGAAAGAGAGAGAGAGAGAGAGAGAGAGAGAGAGAGAGAGAGAGAGAGAGAGAAGGGGGGAGAGAGACAGCGGAATATGAATTGTCATTACGAATGGAATATTAAACAAAAACATCGGATGAAGAAATTGCGCTATTGTAAATTGAGAATTATTTATGAAAATATCGTGGCGTACTTTTAGAGCTCTACTAGCTAGCAGCGAAACATTTAGAAGCACGCCACCGCGATGTGTTTTCCCTACGATACTTCGCTATTATTGTACATTTCCCGCTATAACGGTTTCTTCATTAAATTCCTTTAGGGTGATCAATCATTCACGATGCAGCTCGTGTAGTAGCCACTATACTAGACAAAAGTCTGGTATCGAGTATAGCAATCAAGAAAATTGATATTGGAACTTCTGAAGTGTACGTCGACTGCTAAAGATATAACACACACGATAAACCGTTACGAATGTGTGTCTGTACAACGCGAGCGGATTATATACCCGCCGATAAAAATGCGCTTTACATTTCTAGCACGATTAATCGATTCGTCATGATAATTTATTTATCTCCAAGTGAAGATATCAACCGACATGTGTTGTTTCTTCAATTTGTTCATACATTAACGCCTCAAGCGCCCGTTCGCGTGTTCGAGTCGTTCGATCCGAGTTAAATCTCACCTATGGTTAATTTCTCGTTTCA